AATGCCTTGCCACAGTGACACCCCAAATTTGAGGGCCTCTGTAAAATTCTGTTGTCTGGAAGGGTCCAGACAGAGGGTGACCCCAAGCCCTAAAACGGACCTGGTGAGCCAGGTGTGGCGGTGCTCGCCTGTAACACCAGCATTCTGGAGGCTGAGGCAGGAAGATGGCTGAGTCTGAGGCCAGCCTGGCTACCATCATGAGTTCAAGGTCAGCCTGTATACAAATAAAAAACAGCAACCGAAAAACCCCTTAGCTACGCAGGGGTGACCTGGGAGGCAGGAAGGAGCCCAGCCCTCCTCCGTCTTCTGTCCTGCCGGGGCGTGTGCAGAACAGAGCCTGCCAGGCCCCTTCCTGTCCTGCCTGGGCAGTATCATCTGCACCGGGAACATCCTGGGCGTGGTTTTCCCTGGGAAGTCTCCACACTTCAGCTCAGCTCAGCAGGACTTAGGGGCCGGAGAGCCGGTCGCATCCTGGGAAATGCTGCATTGGGAAGAGGGAGGGGAGGACAAAAGCAGGAGGAGGAAGAGGAAATGCCCACCAGCTTTCCCTCCTCACCTGGCTTTATTTCCTTTCGGGGCCGGGATGAACCCAGGGCCACCTGTGTCCAGGCGAGTGGGTGCCCCTGAGCCGCTCCCCTGCCCTCCTCCCAGCTTTGGGGGCCACCGAGTCAGGCGTCCGATGTATTCACAAATGGCTCCTCTTCTCTTTTTCATGGCCTGTGCCTCCCGGTGAGACCCAAAACCCCACGAGACCCGGCAGGGGAAGGCTGTGCCTTGCCGGGCACCAAGGTCCAGGGCTATCGGCCCTGCTCACTTCCGGTCTCCGCCTGTGGCCCCCTTGGCTGCCCCGAGGCTCCCCGGTACCCGTGACAACCAGCCCTGCCACCCCGGCCGCCACCGGGCCTCAGTTTCCCCATCTGTTCAGTCAGGACGCTGAGGGCCTTGACGGCCTCTCGGTTCCTCCCAGCGCCAATTCTCTGACAAACGGACCCCTACTGAGCTCCGGCTGTGTGCGGGAGGCAGCGGCGCCCCTGGGAGCACCCGTCCACCCGGGCCTGCTGCCGCCTGGGCCAGCCGGGCTGCCGTTTGAAAGGTGTCCTGTTGGTGGCACTTTGGCGTGGCTCAGGTGTTCCAGTGGCTGTGCAGAGTGGATCTGATTTGTACTTGACAAGGAGCTCGCGCTCTGCCCCTGGGTGGTTCTCTTCACTTGAGGAGCTCAGTGCCAGGAGCTAAGCACAGAGGCCTCTCCAGCTCCTCCCTGCCATCCCGCCAGGAGGGCCAGGGCCCCACCCTCCCGGCAGAGCACGCCACGCTGCCCTTCTCCGCGAGGCCACCGGCGCCCCTGCCTCCAGGCAGAGCTCATGGCTTGGCTGCTTTTCCGACCAGAAGGGGCCACCCCAGGGCCACCTGGCCGTCCAC